TTGGACGCTATGTTTACAGCCTGGGTGACGACATTGCCGAGACCCCAGCCTCAGTGTGCTGCAATTTACCCACGTAATAAACCTGCACATGTACCCTTTAACTTATGATAAAAATTGGAATAAAAAAAGAAAAATGAGAAGCCTTTAAAATTACACTTGATCCCATTCCATACTTTTTAATAGACTGAAAATGCCTGCTCTATGATAAAAATAAATAGCATATTTTATCTTAAAAAAAGAATTCTATAGTAGGAGAAAGCACAACAACTCAGTAGAAGAAAATTCTTTTTCCAGACACTAAATAATAAAATGTAAAACAAACATACAAAAATATTTGCCAAAAATATTGAATGACATACTGGAAAATATAGTTGACAAAAATGCATAGCCAATGAAAGAAACATCTTTAATGAACCCTCAATGAAAACCAAAGGCAAGACATTAGGAAAAAACACGAATTTAGGGTGGAGTGAACATGGTGGCAGAAACAAGTTAGAGTGATGTAGGTGTGTGGTTTCTGATTATTTTATGTATTGAAAGAACTTGGAAAATGTAGAGGGATGAATAGATATGATAACACATATAATCAGAAAAGCCACAGTGGCATTTTGCAGGATGTAAATAGGGAAAGGAGTGATGGAATGAAAGTACATGTAGGTCGGGCCCGGTAACTCACACCTGTAATCCCAGCACTTTGGGAGGCTGAGGTGGGCAGATCACACAAGGTCAGGAGTTTGGGACCAGCCTGGCCAGCATGGTGAAACCCCGTCTCTACTAAAAATACAAAAATCAGCTGGGCATGGTGGCGGGTGCCTGTAATCCCAGCTACTCAGGAGGCTGAAGCAGCAGAGTTTCTTGAAACCAGAAGGCAGAAGTTGCAGTGAGCCAGAATCGTGCCACTGCACTCCAACCTGGGCTACAGAAAAACTCAGTCTCAAAAAAAAAAAAAAAAGAAAAAAGAAAAAACACCACCACACACACACACAGCAACAAAAAATAAAAAAGAAAGCACATGCAAAGGATGAAGGAGATGATCCAGCATCTGAAGAGAGGATCTAGACTGGTTATACCAAAAAGGAGAAAGAAAAAGGTGATGATTTCAGTGAAAAGCCTCAGTTCCTCTGCTCCTGGAAAAATTGGTGAGGATTCAGTGATACGGGAGCAGATTTATAGGTAGAGAATAGGCTGAGAACCTCATCACAGAAGGCAGTTAGAGAACCTTGAGAGCCTGAGAATTTCTGGAACATAAAAGATTTTGAGGCTTGCTAACTAAATCATCCAGGAAATGGCACTGAAAATGGTGGTTAGAAAGCACAATTTTCTAGACTTAGCGTAGTTCCATTGGGCTGGGTCAGAGAGAATGTTCTCTGCCTGCTTCTAAGAGGTGGTGCTCACTAAATGCAAAGGTTCGTCTAGAAAAGGAAGGAGCTTTTCAGCTCTATCAATTCATTTATATTCCTCTCTAAGCTGTTCTTATTAGCATTTCATCAAACCTTTTCTCAAGTTTCTTGGTTTCTTTGCATTGGGTTAGAACATGTTCTTTTAGCTCGGATAAGTTTGTTATTACCCACCTTCTGAAGCCTGTTTCTGTCAATTCATCAGACTCATTCTCCATCCAGGCTTGTTCCTTGCTGGTGAGGAGTTGTGATCCCTTGGAGGAGGAGGGGCATTCTGGTTTTGGGTTTCATCCTTTTTGGGCTGGTTTCTTTGTGGATTTATCTACCTGTGGTCTTTGCAGTTGGTGACTTTCAGATGGGGTCTCTGAGTGGATGTCCTTTTGTTGATGTTGTCGTTAATTATTTCTATATATATCTTTTAATACACAAGGAGCTACTTTATATTCTAAGTACTTAATACCTAGTATTTAACAAAGCCCTTAATGTTGGTTAAGTATAATCAGATAATATATTATCTGGTATACTTATGAGGCTGGGATTTCAACAATTAAGTTGTTAGGGTCAGCAAGAAACCATGATTTAGCAAAACTGCTTTTTCTCAAGTTCCTTCCTCCCAACATTGTAGACCCTGAAATCCCAATGCCATGAGCTTCATATGGTTTGAAGCAAGATTACTGCTCTTCTTCTTCTGTCTAGACAATAATTTTGAAGACAACTCTCATCACTTGTTTCCGTGGCAGACTTGTCTCCTGGCCTCACCCAGCTCTATCTTAATGCACACACCTTAAACAGATTTACTCTGACAGTTTGTTTTAAACTGAACTCATCAGTTACTGACCAAGCCTAACAGATAATCTTGTGTCATGTAGACAAATGGATAATTTAATAGGGTAAAATTCAGTCAACTGTTTAAAAACTATAAACAACTGACACATTCATTTCTCCAATCACTTTATTGCCTCAAATTTGATGTTGATGTAGCTGTGTTTACTTTGCTTTACCAGTTAAAGCCAGTGTGGTCTATAAAAAGTTAGGAGCTCTTAGACAAGACTAGATCACAAAAGTTATTTTACTACAATGCGAGATGCAAGTAGTGCTTACCAAGTGTTTTATGAGATGCGATTATTATGAAATATATGAACACACTTTTAGATAAGAAAAAAATCATAAAAATAACCTAAAAGTTAATAACATCTCTTTGAATATATTATTTTGGATATTTATCTATCTATATTTGGAGGTAGTTTTATTACCTAAGATTCTATTAAAGATAATTTAGAGTCTATGTATTGCTTATTTTTTGTTAAATTGGTCTCCTTTAAACTAAGGTTACTTATATTAGTCATGGATTCAGAATAAAAAGATGGAAAGAGGAAATACACTGACGAGAGATGCAGGAATCTATTTTTTGATGTCACATAACTTGAAATAATTTGGCAACTGGACAACAGAGTTGTCTCTTTTATTAGCACATTCAAACAGCAGCAGAAAACAACCTTCCATTTGATTCTTACTGAGATTTATTATTTTTAATAATGCCACTTTTCAGAAGTATAGTCATGTGCTCACTTAGGCTGACAAAGTGAAAACTTGTAGGTGATGCAAAGTACCCTTTGGGCCATCGATTAAGACATAATATAGTGCAGTGACAAGTCAAGTCAAATGCCCACAGCAGACAACAAACCCCAGCCTCCCGTTCCCATGGTCTGGCTCCCATTTTGCACCATAAAACCCACAATGGAAATCTGGCAAGACATAGAACACAGATGGCTACTGACTGACATGAAAAGTAAATTTTATTAAACATGTTTACGTACATGAGTTGGAATTTCATTTAAAAGCACAGGGGAGTGTTAAGACAAATGGTCAAAATAGAAAGATACTACCCAATTATAATCAGTTGATTGTTGGCCACTAAGACAGAACAGAATCTAGTAGAAGTGCACCAATGCTTCAGTTCCTCCTGCTCACCATGGTGAGCAGTGGTCAATCTGTGCCCTGTGGAAAGATGGGCAGATAATTCTGGCATGTGTAAATAATAATAAATAATTCACTTGGTGCAGGCAGTATGTCTATGAATTAAAACCTAGTGTGTACACAGTGTCTACATGTGTTATAGCCCCACAGTAGGAATCTACACCAAAATATTTATTGGAAGGAATTTGGTCCGTACTACATCACGTTTTCCAGAGGGTAAAAAATAAAGTCCATCTATAGACATTTCACCACAGACTCAGAGACTGAGTCTGGCTAAAACCTGCAAAATGTCTATAACAAGAATGGATGGCTTAGATTTCTTGGTTATTTCGGTATAGTAATTAACAAGCAAACTGTACAAGTACATGCAACATACAAGCTGGCCTATGTGGAACTAACATACATTATTAAATAACCTTTTGTTTCTTTTCTTTTTAAAATTTTTTTTACAAAATGTGCATGCAGCTTTGAACAGTTCCAAGTCATGCTGCTCTATTTGTGTAATCACAAAAGTGGAGTGACTCATAAAAGGAGGGAGAACATATCAATGCATCTGCAGAGACTGCAGTTTGTAGCACATGTACAGAATGTCACAGGGAAATTCAAGGCCAAGAAAAATTGAAAATGCAAATTGAAAGTTGACTTTGTTTATTTTCCCCCCCAAAAGTAAGATACTTTGCATTAAAAAATCAAGCTTTGTGCTTGCATCAATCTCAAAGAAATGTAAACTAAAATTCGATAAAAACATTAGTTTAGTGCAGAATATTTCAACTGGAATTTCCAGTGGAATATTGAACAGCTCATACCATGCTCTTTCCAGGGCAGATGGGTGTGTCTACACTGAGGCATGGCTGAGAAGCTTGGGCATAGCTCAAAGTGTCTTAGGCTCAAATCCATTCCTAGTCACCATTTTGGAAGTCAAAGTGTGGTTTATACACATGAGCATATATTTTTTTTTTTTTTTGATATCAGGAAGAAAAAGGCATTACAAGGAGTGTTTTCAAAGTACAATTATGCAGTTAGTTTTAGTCCCCAGCATTAGTTGCAGATCGACTTCTTTAAAAGTCTTCCATGCAAAACAATGGAAACCATAAATTAATTTTCTAGAATGCAAACAGATAGGCTCTTAATTTAAAAAGTACTTCTGTGATTATTTATTTTGGAAGATAACTTTTTGTCTTTTGGGTTTCCACACACAAGACTTTAAAGAATTATAAAATGAAAGCCAGTGAAACCCTTCCTTGGCTTCACCTTATGTAGCTGTTTAACACCTTGGGAAGATGCCACAGAGATCACTTCAGCCCTTTTTTTTGGTGCTTTTGGAAAAAAGAAGGGAAGAGTCTCTGTTAGCATCATGAGGCCTTTCATGACACAGCCAAAAAAAAAAAAAAAAAACTAGTGGAGATAACAGATGGTGAAAACAAAACAAAAACTCAAGAAATGAAAACCAACAACCACCACACAAATAAACAAAACACACGAAAGAACAAAACAATTCAAACATCAGGGAAATAACACTGCTTGTGGTCTGTGCAGATACGTGTAGAATACAACTTTTCATAGAGTGAGAGTTTCCAGTTTGTTCAATTTGGTGTGTGTGTGTGTGCATGTGTGTGTGTATTTGTATGCGTGGATTTAAAGTTTCCTCTTTTTCTATTTGTTAGAAGCATCAGTGACTCTCACCAGCACGTTGATTCTTCCTGTAATTTGATAGATTGCCTTGTTCTGTCATATGAAGCCATGTTTTAAATAATGATTGGGACATATTATTGAAAAACTACTACAGGCAAAACATAAGTTGATTGTCTGTCTCCAACAATGCTTTTGATCATGAAATATCTGGTTCAGATTATTATCCTGAAATGTAGAGTTTTATTGGAAATGACTCTGGTATGAGTTCACTATTATCGAATACAGGGAGGCCCAGTTGAACTTTCCAGAGATGACTGGGAAGCCCGGCGGGTGAGGGGAGTGAGTGTGGGATCCACCAGTGAGGACGGTGGGAACAATTTGTACCATCCAATCACCATGCTGGACAGGTCGAGTTCTTCCAACAAGATCTGAGCCACACCCATAAAGCATTTGTGGTCCATTCTGCCATAGTCTCCCCAGACAATCACCTGCAGAGATAGAGAAATGCAACATTATCTGGACTTCTGTCTGCTTCACATTCAAAGGGCTCAAAGCAACTATGTTGTAAAAGTGGGCCAGTCAGAGAAGAAGAGGACATAAATAATGAATACAACTGTCACGAAGGAGAAGGCACAAAAAAGAAGATACGATAACCTTAAGGTGCTCATAGACACTTCACAAAAAATTTTCGTCTGATGCAATTAAGGACTGTGTGTTACTAGTCAATGAGTATTATCTACATAAGCCATATTAAAGAAAGAAATACATCAGATTATTATTATATGAATGCAACACCTTTCTTGTATAACTACTATCTAATTAGTGATGTGCAGGGCCATAGAAATATAAAAATTAAAATTTGTTCAATTTAGGAGGGTGGCTAGCAATCCAACTCAGTATACCATGGAGTGTATGTACAAGAAAATATGTACAAAGAATGAGAGTATTCATTTGATTTCTTTCGTGTTATGGTCTTTTTAGTAAAGGGGTAGGCCAAAAAAAAAATAATAATTATGAGCTGGTACATTTTGAGGACTTGCATGCCAATTTTGACTTAGATGATTAACATTTCAATTAAATCATTGAAAATTACCACAATCTAGATCAACTCCTATTGGTGTCAGACAAGCCTTCTATTACACATACTCCCATGTTCTATTTTCTAATCCTTCAGTCATCTGTAAAGGTTCTCAGCTGAACTCATTCACCTGCTTTACACAAGTAGAGTTGGTGGTGAATCCCACCTTTACAATTTACTGAGTAACTGTGTAAAATTACTTAACCTCTTGAATCTCAGACATAATCTTTAAAATGGGGATAATGATACTTATTGCACATGTTAGCTACAAAGTTTAAAATACATATATATATATGTATTTTAGGTGCATATATATATATTTTAGGTGCATATGTATTTTAGGTGCATATATATATATAAATATATATATATATTTATATATTTATATGCACCTAAAAATGCATATGGCAGTCAACCAGGACTAAATATTTGCTGGTCTCTGCACACTTTTCTTTTCCTCTCCCTCTTCCTCTTTGTATCTCATGTTTGGTACATAGCAATGCTCAATCAATTATTATTAGCATTGTTTTGTTTGACATATCTCTATTTATCATCTATCTATCTAGTGAGGAGTGAGGAGGGGAGGGAACAGGGCAAACCTAGAAGAGGATGGAGAAAGAAAAGAAAAGAAGAGAGAGAATAAAATTGTTCTCTATTAGATCCACCAAATGTTTTTAATAATATACATTATTTATATTATAAATTAACCATTTGAATTTTTTCTATTCAATAATACAATTCTACATTTATCTTTACCAAATTTTATTCTTTTTGTGTTTGACCATCTCTTCGATGTATGGATAATACAAATATTTCAATGTAAAAAGTCAAACAAACTATTACTGACCTGAAGAACTTTACCCTGTGGACTTTCATCAAAAACCAGGGACTGCTGATACAAAGGATCAAGGGTTTTTCGTGCAATTCTTGTCTTCTTCTTGGCTATACAGGCCCCGTTTTCCAAAAGATATACTTTGACATATGGAGCTGAAGAAAGATATATTAACATATAAGAAGTTATTCCTTAAATTCAATTATTTTTTAAATTAGAGAATGTCCTATTACAGAATTAGAGATGCTTACTGAAAGTTTCCCATTGACTATTCAAATTACTTAAAACTTCCATTGTTCCATAAATTCTATTCCTTAAATCTATATGTTACCATTACTGCCATTTTCCTCATTTTGAGTCAATGTATACAAAGTTATTTGAAGACTTTGACTTACTTGGATTACAATACAGGTTTAGATCTTAAAGTTCATTGTTCCCTTTTTATGATTAGTGCTATATTCTTTTTTTCTTTTGCCTTTCTAAATGTGAAGAAAGAAAATAACTGACAAAAGCTAAGAGGCAACCATAACTAAATTTTAAAAACACTTCCTAACACCTTCTGAAATAATAACTGTGCAAGGAAAACTGAGATCCATTTTAATAACATCAAAGAACACAGAAATACTGCTTTTTAAATCAATCAGATGATGCAAAACAGAGCATATGGAATTCAAATGCAGCAACTGTTTTTTCTTGTTTGCCTATTTAATAATCTCTTCATCAAACTCAGGAATACTCCTTACCAGGTGTAGATTTAGAACCAGGCTTTTGTGTGAGGCTTCGTGCTCTAATAACTTCAACTTCTAATTGGCCCTTTTTGTCCTCCATTCCAATTTGTATATCACCTGCAAATGGAGGGGAAGCAAGGTGTGTTTCAGCTTCTTTGCAGTTATGTGCAGTTAAAACAAAAAGGACAGCCCATATCAGACTACAGATTTTTATCCTCATGATTTTGATAAGAAACTAATATTTAGACCCCTCACTGCACAATCCCACTTTTCTTTCCCAGTCTTTAATCAAATTTGGAAACAATTCTCTTATTTTTTTCTGGTATTAATCCCTCTGATGAGATTTGCAAATTAGTTAATAAAGGACTATAACAACGCTGAAGTATTTCTGTGATTCTTGTACTTAATAAGATTTCTTACTCTTATTTCATTCAGTATATTTACTTATTAATAAAAAATTGTAACTATCTGTATTTTCATTATCCAGAGAAAGCCACCATTAATATTTAGTGAATATCCTAGCATTCTTTTATCTATCTCTTTGCCTGCCTATCTAGCTATCTATCATCAATCATATCATAAACAGTCATTTTATTGACTATATGGACTACTGTATGGACATGTCGTTACCTATTAAATCAGGCTCCTGTTGATGGAAATAAAGGTTATTTACATAAACTATTTATACTTCAGTGTATGTAAATGGGGCTAGAATGAAGAGTTTTATAAGAATTCTTGCACACATTCTTGCATCAGTTATTTTTTGAACATAGAATTCCAAGATTTTATTTTCATATCTAATAGGATGGACATCCAAAAATTCTATGCATACTGCCAACTCCTCCAGAAAGGTTGTACCAGTTTGCACTATGACCAGAAATATCTCTCTTTCTGCTTCTCGCACTCAGTAATACAGGTATTAGCAAAATGTCTAATACCAGTATCAAAAATAAGTTTAATTTTTTTCAATCTGGTTAAAAAGATATTTTAATTTGCATTTCTTTGATTATTAAGGAGGATTACATAGCCCATGTATAGTTCGATACAAAATTAGATTAGCAACTAGAATGAGTCCCTTTTTATTTCACGAAAATATTTGTTTCATAATTTTCATGTCTCTTGAGTTCATATCTATTAGAACTCATCTGTGAAAACACCTGGGATTATTCTCCCCATTTTTTGGTGAGTAGAATGTTAAATACCAATAGCTATAGTTCTAATTAGGTTTTTTCAGCTTTCTATTTACTCTTAAATTCTTTGTGGTAGATTATAGTTTTTAATAACTGTCCATCTCAATTACATTTCCAAATTTTAAGCTTTTTTTTTTTTTTTTTTTTTTTTGACAGAGTCTTGCTCTGTCTTCCAGGTTGGAGTGGAGTGGCGTGATCTTGGCTCACTGCAACTTCCATCTCCTAGGTTTAAGCAATTCTCCTGCCTTAGTTTCCTGAGTAGCTGAGTCTACAGACATGCAGCATCACGCCTGGCTAACTTTTGCATTTTTAGTGGATACAGGGTTCACCATGTTGGTCAGGCTGGTCTCAAACTCCTGACTTCAGGTGATCTGCCTGCCTCAGTCTCCCAAAGTGCTGGGATTACAAATGTGAGCCACCGTGTCCAGCCTAAGCATTTGTGTAAGTGGTATCATTCAGCAATTTTCTTTCTTCACTTAACAACATTTTCTTATGTATCCATCCAAGTTGATGTGTTGAGATCTAGAACATTCCCTGTAATTTCTCTATAATATTCTATTATGTGAATGCTATATATATTTATCTTATCTCCAGTTAGGGGTCTTCGTCTTCCTATTTGGTGCTGCAACAAAGAATGCTGCAAGAAGTTTCTTGAGGATATGCAACTACAAACTGTATTGCTGGGTCACAGCACATCTACATTTTAAATTTTACTAGATACTGTCATATTATTCCAATAGGTGACTGCCCCAAAACCTAAAGTTAGTGTTTTCCTGTTTTCTCCCATATAAGACAAATATCTTTAGTTATTCAAGAATTCTTCAGCTTCTCAACTTTCACGTAGATGCCGAGTGGCATTTTTGTTTCAACTTATTTTGCTTTTTTCCTGCTTGTTGTCAAATACACACTTAAAACCCTGTTTTTATTGCTGTTTTTGTTAAATTATTATTATTTTAATATATTTACCAAGTTTCACTCATTTCTTTGCTCATCATTGCTTCCCAAATCCCATTCTTTCCTTTTAGGCTTATTCTTGCTACAGCACACCTCTAAGTGAAGAGCAGGAGATGGTAAACTTCATGAGTCATTGTGTGAATGAGTATGTCTCTATTTCATCTTTACTCTTGAATGAACATTTGTCTTAATATACAAATTTGGGTTGATAGTCCTTTTCTTTAGCTATCTATCTATCTATCTATCTATCTATCTATCTATCTATCTATATATTTGGCATTGCTAAGAAACGAAAGCTGTTCATTTATTGCCTTTCTTTGCTAGGTAATCTTTATCTTCCTCATGATTTGAGATGATGTTCTGAAATTACATTAAGAAGCTTTTCCTTGTTTGTTTTGTATAGATTGTTCAGTTCACCACTCAGCGTGCTCTTCAGGTTTTCTGCTTTCCTTAAACAGTTCAGTCATCATTAGTTTTTCCTCCAAAACTGTTTCTCTATTATCTTTTTAGGCTCCTTTTAGAGTAATTTTGAGCTTTTCAGCTTATTCTTCCTACATCCCATATTCTCTATTATGAAAGATTTTTTTAAATTTAAATAGGCCATGTTTACAGTGATATTCTATAGTTCTCCTTGTATTTAATTCTGTCTTAAGCTTTGTTCAGTATACTATTTACCTCATCAACTGAATTTTCAATTTTAATTCATTATATTTTCCATTCTCTTTATTTCTTAAAAATATATACTTGGTTTTTTTTTTGTTGTTTAATAACTCTTGGTCTTTGTTTCTGTGGATTTTGTATACTCTACCTCTGACAATTTCTAAGTTATTTTTGCTTAGTTGAATCACTTCTATTTTCTCAGGCAAGAATTCTCTTTTTTTGCCTGGTCAGTTGATCAGTTTTGTTGTTCTAGACATTCTCATCTGTTTTAGACCTCAGTGCCCAGAAGTCTTTTGTTCTCTTTTAGTCCTTTACATGTTTTTTTAAAGATTTATTTTAAAATCATATAAATATCCCCAACTGTTCTATAAAACCTGTTATATTTATACATAACTAACTTCTATCTCTTCTCTCAACTTTTTGTCTTCCAAAAATTATTCTTTCAAAATTTTCAATATTTTTAACTGATTTACTTTCTGGTATTTGCCTTATTATTTCTAAGCACTATACTTATATTTTCCTTTTTGCAGTTTTAGGTATTATTATTGACTTCCAATTTTGATCTCTTTCAGTGCCTTCCTACACCTACTAGATACTTGACAATTTCTGTCATCCCATTTTTTCCAATATTACTATTTATATTATTTTGACTAGTAACCTTATGCATAACTGTGTGAACTGGCATATTATAACTACTTCTCATTTCTTACATCTTCCTTTTTCCTACACTTAATTAGTGTCTTTTAAGAAAGCATTTGCTTACATTTTTATGTAGATCTCACTAATTCAAATCTTAGTCTCTCCTGGTTGTTTATCTCTTGCATAAAATCAAACACATTAGGTATTCTATAAATCTTATCTCATGAAATCTGACATGATACAATTTGAATGTTGCTTTGAAACCTTGCTGTAGCGATATTTAGTTCCTCCTTTGCTATCATCCTGGGTATCCCAATCATCTTTATTTTGTGAGGAGGCAAGTATTTATTTATTGGTTCCATCTTTTGTTTTTTTTTAATCCATAATTTTGAAAATTCACTTAGTTCATTTGGTTGAAGTAAATCCTCTAGTAGCTTTCTGTGAAATGTTAGAAATGAGGAAAATGATTTGAAGCTTTGCTTGGGGCCGAGTATGTATCTACTTTAGCCTCAAATTTACTTTATAGTTTGGCTGGCTTTTGTATTCTAGATTGGAAATCAGTTGTTACTCAGAATTCTGAAGGTAATGTTATTACTCTTCTGGCTTCCAGTATTATTGAAGAGTCCAGTGAAAATGTGAGGAGCCCAATGAGAATCTGATTTTTGATAGTTTTTTGTAAAATTATTTTTCCTCTTAGGAAGCTTGTATGATTTTCTATCAAGCCTCAGTATTGTGAAATTCCACTATGTTGTATCCTCAAGCTAATCGGTTTTCATACATTTTACTGATATTCTTTCCCACTGCAATATTACAGAAAGATCAACTTAAGTGTTTTTCAGTACTTTATAGTGTCTTTCTCCACCTTCCCTTTTTTTTATAGTTAAGTCTAAAATATTAACTTTTTTGGCAAGTTGTGTAGAGTGGGGGAATTCCATTAATTTTTTTCACAGAAGTAAACAGTGACGCCACTGTCCTTTACTGAACAGTCTTTTTTCCCCCCCATGCTGTGAAATGCCACCCTTGTCCTACATTTAGATCCATTGTAGACTCTCTGTCTTAACAGGGTTCCAGTAATTCAAATATTTATGACTAATTTTATTTCCTTTTTCATAATATCTCAAATTAGAAAAATGTACTTGAAATTATAATAGTTGTTTGCAAACAGTAGCACCCTAGCTAAAATGTTGCTTCTCACTTGTATTGCAATTACACAATTTTAAAAGTTTTAAATGACTTTGTCAAACACAAAACATCAATTTTCATGTATAAAAAATGATTCTTACCCATTGCAGGGGTGGCAAGGGTTTGGCGGCCAACAAGCTGGGCTGGTCCCAATCCATCAAGAAAATCACTGAATTGACTGTCAGCTCCCAGACGCACTCCAGGAAATATTAAACTATCAGCCAAAGGATAAAAACCAAAGGAAAATAACCCATGAAATAATCCAGAATTATTTTCACTAGTTTTCATTTGACTAATTATGATCATGAAACATAAATATTACTTAGACAATCTGTTTTTTTAAAATTGATTCTTTGCATTGCCTTTGATCCAAGCATATGAGGCCCAACATTGATTGAGAAAAGGTGTAAACTCTTAATGCTCTTTTCAAAGGGACTCAGTTATGGTTTTCAATATACTAAGTTCCAAATCCCTATACAAACGTGTTGCTGACAAACAAAAATAAGATGCAAACTTTTATATCATAAACCTTACACAGATACTTGCTCATGAACATTAGGTAACATTAACAGTAAATTTTTTAAAGTGGCCAATAATTTTTTTGAACAAATTTTATAGCATAGTACAAGTTCTTATTTACAAATAAAACATATAATGTATTCATTTTTGAATTAATTAAATGTTTAGATTGAGACTTTTATTTGGTTCTAATGGAAATTAATTGATTTAAAAAATCTGCATTTCTTCCTATAATATAACGTACTGAGAGCCCCAGGATGTAAGCTGCACAAGGGCAGCACCTGTGCTCTTCTTCTTGACGGATGTAGTTATCACTGGGTAACGAGAACTATGCTCATTATGTAATAGGTATTCAGTAAGCACTTTTTTGAATAAGCATTTTTTTTTATTGAATAGTTTTATTTGGTTATTTAGAATAAAAATCTTGCTTTAATATTGTAAGGTGTACTGCAGGTATGCCATGCTGCCAATTATTGCTGGTGCATAAAATGCCTCAGTCAGTGACTTAGAGAGCTGGGAAAATATGTGGACTCATACTTTTGGAGCAAGTAGAACTATATTTACAGTTTTCTTTCTTAAATTGGCTTGGGACATATCAAACAGTCTACACAGGTATTGGCATAGTACTTGCTTTGATGGTCTGAATGCCTCAGAAATGTGTTCAGTATCATGATTAGCAGGTCCTCTAAAAGGTTTTGTTGTCAACTAGCAAGCAAACAGCACCAAACAATATTATCTAAACTATGGCTGCCAAGTACTGGATCTTAATAATGAAGCCAAATTATAAAACACTGCCTTGTAGAGGTATTCGAAAGATATAAAATTAAAATAAAAAATATCAAACAGCTTTAAATATTACAATTCTCCTACAGTACAGTTTCCACATCTTTATCACCACTGAATGTTTTAAGGAGAAAGTTAACAAAAAAATCAAAATAGATAAAAATATGTAAATCTTTGGATCCTTTTATTCCACAACTTTCATAAAAACATGAAAGTGGCCAGATTTTTCCCACTAGAGCTTAAAATATCAAAAAGATTCACTAGTAATCTATAATTAGCAATGATCTCTATACTAAGTCATCTGTGGGTCACTGGCCCAAGGACCAGTGCTGCCATGTGTTACAGGCTGCCAAAATAATTCCTAGCATTCTGAATCCTCTTGAAATATGATGGAATGAGTCAAGGTATCATGCCTAAATTTCAGGCATAATAGAAAAAACAGGTTCATTGATGCCTAGTTTTAAAGTCCTAAAGAAGGGGGGGAGGATTACTTATTTGAAAATATTTCTATAGAGACTTACTGTTTCCACTGTGATTTCACATCTGTTATTTCTCTTAACCAAGGAAATTAAATGGGATGCATATTATAATCCCATCCAGAAACAATGACCATAAATCCAAGAGATTAAGTGGTTTATGATGGAGGCAAATTTGTTACTTTTTTGTATCAGAAAATAATGCCTTCAAGTCTCATTTGTACATTACTTTATGCTACTTCATCAAATATTGGTATTTTGTCAGTAAGTTTATCTCTATAACTTTCATACTTGCTGATTTTTGTTCTTAGCTATTCCTTACTGGAAATATGCACACCAGTCATTTGACCAACTAAACAGAGACCAATTAGTTTCAGGAATGGGAAAGAGTATTACAACCAGTAGCTTGGCATAATTTTGTTAAATTTTCTAAACAAAATAGAAAAATTCCAGTAAAGACAAGAAATTAGGAATATTAGATTGGTATATGAATAATGTGAGTGATAATTAATAAATAATTATGGAAAATGTACGTGTGGTGAATCTCCATGTAATCCAACATAGCACATTAATTACTTATTTGTAAGATCCACTACCTCAATAAGAATTCAGTTTTACCAGAAATATTCTCAAGCACTAGAAGAAGCAGGTTTTGTGCGGGATCCAAATGAAATGGTAAAAAATAAAAATGAGTAAAAAAAAAAACTTATTCAATTTTTTCAGAGTTAACTAAAACATTTTAGTCAGAAAACTAATGAAGCTGATAGATCCTGGATTATTACATAAGATAAAAATGAGTCAGCAATGTTTAAAAACAAGAAAATATAAGTTACTTACATGTATGAGAATGTTAGAAAAGCTTAGGATTCAAAATAGCTTGGAGAAAATTAAGAACATATGAAATCAGTTCCTTACTTCTAAATTTTAATGTAGACTTTGGTAACAGGGACAGGCTGAGTTTCCCATATGAGAGTCCATTACATGTGGCATTTCTACACTAAACATCCAGCAAAGGACTATTCTGGGCTTTCCTAGATGGAGGAAATCAGTTTGTTCATGTGGACTCAGAATTTCTTCATCCTTGAAACATATGAACGACCAGGTATAGAGGTGTGTCCATGTGTTCTTACTTACAAGCCATCAGGGTAGTTTAAAATGGATGGTTGAACTTCTGGTTAAATAGACAGCTGCACAGTAACACTCAGCAGCTTTGTTAATTTTACTGATTAGTACAAAATTTGTGGTTCCACAGCCATGCGGACATGCTGACAGCACTTACTTGCCCTCAGAGCTGTAACTGTTGATGCTGCCATCAGTAGACTCTCGGCTTGGCTGTCTTACCATCTTCCTCATTTCAGCTGCCATGCCTGTTTCTGTGCTTCTCTGGATGGTACTTTTTAACTTTTTGTGGCCTGACTCTGACAGGAGAGAATAAAAGAAACTCTAAGTTTTATTTAGACAGTTTTTCCCTGAATATCAATTGATCCTGCAATACAATAGTTAATTTTACACATAATTACAAATTTAATCAGAAAAATAGTGGCCTAAGAGAGTACTTTGCTTGATTCAGGCTCCTCGCCAGCGTATACTTGGCTAAGAGTAGCACTGGATGGTACGCCATGGCCATAGTTTCAGTGACTTCCTGCATCTCAATCAGCCAAAATGAACTCAATGTATTATCGATAGTGACAACTTTACTGAAAATCTGAATGTGGCACCCAACTGTTAGGTGGAAAGATAATGGTAAACAATCTAATAGGTTTCTCCTAATACAGAATTCTCTAAATGTGTATGAATAGTCCCAAATGATAGGTCATGTCCTTTTAAGGAAAAGGTGCTTGGAATCCAGTATGAAAAATACCACAGTTTTTGTACTATCACATATCAGCAATCCTCATAAAGAGAAACTAGTATTTTACTTGATGATTTTTGCAACACTTTAACATACACTATATAATATTTATACTCATTTGGGATGGCATATAGGTTATGGAGTTAGGTATAATAGATTTTATCCTAATTCCAAGGCTACACAGCTATCTCAAGCCCTGAGTGACTTCTGACTGGCAGCTTTGGGGTGTACACCTCCATCTGCACTGGGAGTTACACACATTTTCATTTCAATTCTTGGTAAGTTCAGAGGAATTTTCTTGAGCCACTTTGAAATGCACTAATCAGCATTCTATTCAAAACATGGAAATAAATCCTAAAATATTTATTTGCTTACATGTATGAGCAGTATCAATAGGTTAGGAAAACTGTTAGACTTTATTCCATCTATACATTCTATATACATTTCTGGTTTTCTCTTTAGTTTTTGTATAGTATCACTTAATACCCATTAATAATATATGAAAAATGCTCCCTATATAATTACATACATAATAAATACTATATAAACACTTTAACTTTTCAATCCTCATAAAACCTCTATAAAGCAGGTACCTACATACACTCTTAGATAAGCCATATGAAACACTGCATTTTTTTCCCTCTCATTTTTGGTCACTGGATTCCTTTTGTAAATTGTCTAATCAAGGACATAATAGGTTATGTTATATGGACTAATGCTGATGCTTTCTACACATTGTTTAAATATGTTATTAAATTTTATTTTTTATTGTTCTTTGTATTGCTATTTTTGCTTACAAAGACAATATGTGTATGTTACAAAATATTTAAATATTAAAAGAAATTACAAACATTGAATGGTCCCTATAATTTCACCACTCAAGGAAGTCAATGGTTAATAATTTGGGAATTATTTTTTCTTTATACCTATACACACTTCTTCACTTGGCTACTGCAATCCACCCTCTCCATTTTTCTTTCTTTGTCATTGGTTGTTACCTCCCAGTCTCTTCTGCTGGATTTTTCCTCTTTGAGATTTTTAGATACAGAAGATCCCTAGACCTCAGGCCTCAGACCTTCTTGCTTTCTTCTACAATTACTTCCTAGGTGATCTCTAACATAGCTTTAACACAGCTAACTAAGCCATTCATGCCTTTATGCCCCCAAGTATATATCAAGGACTTAACCTTTCTGCTAAATGCTGAAGTCATTAACCCAATTACCTAGTAGCTCCATTTACAGATATAATAGGCACTTCAACATGAACATATCCAAGACAGAACTCTTCCCCACCTCCACCACACTGTCATCTCCTACTGCTAAATCCTCCTCCCTTAGCAAATGGTACTGCCATTCACTCGGCTGATCAGGCCTAAATTCTTGTAATCATCTTTGATTCCTCTAACATACCCCGCACCCAATCCATCAGCGAATCCTCTTGGCTTTACCTTCAAAATGCATCACACTCTGGTCATTCTTCTTCCTCTCCACAGCTCCAATCCTATGTGCAGACACTACTATCACTCAAAAGAGCACTGTCATACCCATACAGCTGGTCTCACTGCTTCTATTCCTTTCCTCCTCAGAATATTCTTGACATAGCAGCCATAGTGATTCTTTAAAAATGTAAATTTGAATATATCATTCCCCTGCTCAAGATCTTCTAATGATTAATCACCAAAATAAAATGAAAATCCAAAATTGTTATCATGACCCCGGAAATGCCATATGATCTGGTCCTCGGACACTTCACATCTCATCTTCTGTCCCTCATTCCATATGATCAATGCTTTCCAGTCACACTGTCTTCCCTGTATTTCCTCAAGCCTGTAAGGATGCTTCTTCTGGGCCTTTTTTACTTCTATCTGTCCCTTCTGACTTTCTTGCCTTGTTCCTTATTCAGATTTCTGATTCAAGAGAGGCTGTCTCCTCAGAGAGGCTTTTTCTGCTTTTATCACTCTTTATCCCTTTTGCTGTGCTTTTTCTTCGTAGCACTGCTTCATCTCATATTAAACCTTTATTTGTTTGTGATCTGTTTTCCAGTTATAATTTATTTCTTTTTAAAATTATACTTTAAGTTCTGGGGTACATCTGCAGATTGTGCAGGTTTGTTACACAGGTACACGTGTCATGGTGGTTTGCTGCATCCATTCCCCCATCATCTATGAAAGCAGGATCATTGTAAGTATTATTCATTGTTATTTCTCATATCTAGAACAGAGGTATAAACTGTTGATAGGGAAATCACACCACATATACTAATGTGCAATTTTCACATTCCATTTAACACAAACAGGTATAGATTTATTCTTTTTAAGGATTGCAATATTCCATTTTATGACTGTGGTTTCATCATTAAACCATCTCTTTATTAATGGGTTTTTGGATGTTTCCAGTTGTTATAGGAAAGTTTCTACAGAATGAATTGCTAGAAGTTGAAATGCTACTGAAAGGGTAGGTCAGGAGTTCGAGAACAGCCTGGCCAACCAACATGCTGAAACCCCATCTCTACTAAAAATACAAAAATTAGCGAGGCGTGGTGGTGGGCACCAGTAATTCCAGCTATTCAGGAGGCTGAGGTAGGAGAATCACTTGAACCCGGGAGGCGGAGGTTGCAGTGAGCCGAGGTCGCACCATTGCACTCCAGCCTGGGTGACGAGCAAAACTCCATCTCAAAAAAGAAAGAAATTTAAATAGCGATTTCTAAATTCCCCTTTAGAAACACGGTAGTGATTTATACCAACAGTCATATGGATGTTCCCACTTACCTACCTATGGCTCAAGAATTCTCTACCTTTCCCCTTTTTGGACTCTATCTTGTCCACTCGACTTGTTATTGTAGAAGATGCACACTTACCAAAGGCAGGGACTTCATTTATGGCCATTGTAAATGCTGTTTAGTTTAGTTTTGGCATTTATTTATTTATTTATATACTATGATTCCTTTCTAGAGGTAATTCATTTATGAAGTCACTGCGGTAGAGCAGCGGCAATTCATGGCCACATACTGGCCACTCTCACTTGAGGGACGGGGCAAGCCCTAGAGGTATATTACCTAAGTATTGAGCCAAGGTGAATTACAAGTGTTTTTCCAAGGCAGCACGAGACAATAAAATTAGGTTAGAACACCAGTTATTGAAAATAATGAGGATCATGGCTAGAGAAATTACAGGAACTTTAAATCTAAATGGTGAGGTGCTGCTGGCAATTGAAGGAGAAACAGTTAAGAGGATCAGCAGTATGGCAGGTTCAGGTTAGAGTGTTAGTTCATTCTGTGTTTTGTTCACTCATCCATCTATCCATCCAATAAATATTTATGGAGCATCTATTATGTGTCACACACTGCTCTAGGTGCTGGGGATATATGGATGGATGACAAATTTCCTGCTTAAAAGAGGTTACATTCTAGTTTGGGTGTGTATTCAAGAAAGACAGTAAACAAAGACATGATATCGCTGATAGTAACTGCTATGGGAAAAAAATCAGGCAGGATGAGGGGGTAGTGAGTGACAAGGTAAAGCAGGAGTGGTTTTATTTGAAAAAGAGCCAGGGTCTGATTAGGCAAGGCAGGGGGAAGTGAGGACACAAGCCACAAGGAAAGGAAAGCAGTACACTGTCAGGATCGGTCGTGGTGATGGGGGTTGTGAGTAATGGTGGCTGTGGCAGAGGGGAAGAAGAGGGCTGTAGTTCTTGCAAGTGGTGCACAGGTCCCCAGGCTTCCTCTCCAGTCTTTGTAATGTCGATGTTGACTCCAACCCAGAGGCATCACCAGTGATCTCGGGCTCTGTGTGTTGCTGGCAGTCCAGCGGCGGTGGAGTGCAGACTGTCAATAACTGATTTCTCTTGCATTATCTAACACATGTTTCACGTGACTGTTGTTAGTTATATATTTGGTAATGAGTGAAAATGAATGAAACGAAAAACTTTATAAGTGGAAAATCTTTATTAATTTGTATGTTTTAGTTGGGATATCGAGTTTTCTTAAAGAAGGGTGTGTCTACAGGGTGTCTCAAAATTCTTAAGAGCAGTTTTAAACTTTAATAGCTTCCACAGTGTAAAGGATACAAATGCCAGAAAAACAGCATTTGAGGGGCTAGTTATTGAACTTTCTTTTATATTTACTTGATTTGGGGAATTTGAATAATACATTTTTAACATTAAAGTTTTTGTTTTATTCCTGCTCATTGAAGATGGCAGATGAACTGACATCTATTGTCTTATTCATATTAATAAGTATTCATGAAAAGAGCTTTGATTGACTAAGCAATATAACAGTCCAGGCAGAAGCTCAATAAACAGTTCTAGTTTTGAATTCACCTTATTCAAATTCATAAGGGCCCTAATATTAATTTGGAATGTGAGGATTAGAAGAAACATTATTTTATAGATGTGGAAACTGTAAATCTGCAGAAACAGAATTCATGCAACAACTTGGTTCAGCACTTGCTCTGGGTCCAGTCTTTTCCAGTGCTAGTTATACAGCAATGAGCACAACAGACAAAATTGCTGCCCCAATGAAGCTTACATTCTAGTGGATATAATGACTTGCTTAACATCACACTAGTTA